TTTTTTTTTACACAGAACCAGAGTACAGGGGTTGGGGATATAGTTCAGTGATTTAAGCACCTACCTGGCAAGTGCAAGGTCCTGAGTTCAATCCCTGGTACCAAAAAAAAAAAAAAAAAAAAAAAGTACACTCAGCTGTATTTAGCCAAGTTGGATTATAATAACTCACAGTTGTTAAGTTTTATAACTATAAATAGGCTAGTCAAAACTTTTGTAGGTCAATAAACAGAGGTCTTTTGTAATAAAAATTAGAAGGAATAAAAACCTTCTACTCACAATCAATATTTTCTTTTGTATTTTATTTTGCCTTAAGGATGTTGGCAATTGAGGCTGGTGAGATGGCTCAGTGGTATAAAGCACCTATTTAGAACAAGCTTAGCAAAGCAGAGAACCAGGGTTCAATCCCCCAGCACCACATGCCAGCCAGCCCCACCCCCTGGTGGGCTGAGCTGGCCACACACACACACACACACACACACACACAAATAAATAAAAATAAAAAAGAATGTTGGCAATTCTGTGCCCTCTTCTTTCATTCAGCCTCCAGCTCAGCCATCTCCATGCCTTCTGTCACCTACTCAGAACTTCTTTTTCTTCTCACAGTGTTTGTAGGATCCCCTCTGTGAAACTTAGCATGGCTTGAGCCAGCATTGATCTTCTTAAAGATTCAGTCTCTATATCTTTTTTTTTTTTTTTTTTTTTTGTACTGGAGATTGAACTCAGGACCCTGCACTTGCTAGGCAAGCGCTTATTCTACTCAGCTATCTCCCCGGGCCCTCAGTCTCTATATCTTGACAGGATTTTAGGTAAATAATTTCCAAGAGTCTCTGTGGCCCTGACCACCCCAAGGGCCCATGTATAGTCCTGTTTGCATTCCCAAAGTCTAATTGTAACACTGCAATCTCAGCCGCTAGGGAAGGAGTCTGTCTGCAGAGTGACTCCTGTAATCTAGCAAACAACTGAGTGTAAGGGTCTTATGAGCTCTCCAAATGAACTCAAGAGCCCCAGTGCAAAGGGCCCCTGCACTTGAGTGACCGCCCCACCTCAACCCACCAAGCAGCCCAACCTACAGGCACATAGCACCCTGCTGGGTGAGGCTAAGGGAACCAAACAGGGAGAAGCTACTTCTCCACCACAGGGCTCTGCTGCTGGCTGGCTGCTGTGCCTCATTCCTCCTGGCCCGGGTCCCGCACTGCCACCCTGTGGCTGCCCTTTCTGTTGCTGCCACCCCCAATGACAATGACTATATCACTGTATTGAGTGCACTGTCAGCCTCTATCAATTCTGGCGGTGTGGGCCAAGAAAGCCTCTTTACTTTCTCCCCGAACTTTCCCTTTTCCCTAATGGGGGCGGAGGCGGGGGGCGGGCGGGGAGCAGCAGCAGTTGTAGCAATCATTGCAGGGCACCAAGGTTCCAATATGGATTTTGCCAAACTCCATGTTGGAAGGGTGTCTGGGGCAATCTCTTCTCCCTAAGCGTGGGCCCTCCTCAAATCTTCGCCTCCTCTACCCCATTTCTCTGCATCCAAAGGTCCTGCCTGCAGTAACCACGGGTTGTGCTTGGTAATATCTTGCAACATTTTTTTTTTTTAATTTTATTTATTTATTTATTTGTGTGTGTGTGGCCAGCTCAGCCCGCCAGGGGGCGGGGCTGGCTGGCATGTGGTGCTAGAGGATTGAACCATGGTCCCTGTGCTTTGCTAAGCTTGTTCGAAGTAGGTGCTTTAGACCACTGAGCCATCTCACCAGCCCCTCTTGCAACATTTTGGAAAGAGATGGGCACTGACCTGGACTCCTACCTGTTTCAACAGTCTACACAGCAGCTGCACATATCTTTGCTCCTCCACTGGCAAATTCTGCCCCCTTAACCTGGTTAAGAAAAGCCTTTCTCGGGTGTTACACTTTTTTGCTCAGCTGGCTTCTAGATTTGTCCTGTGGAGTGCCTGAGGACAGTTATCAAAACACAGCCGTTTAGGTTCAGAGGAAATCTGATTCCTAATTTTATTTATTTATTTATTTATTTATTTATTGCAGAACTGGGGATTGAACTCAGGCCCTTACACTTGCTAGGAAAGTGCTTATTCCACAGAGCCATCTCCCTGGCCTGATTCCTCATTAACATATTCCTTATCCACCCATTTTCTATACTACAGGAAGGAAGTTCCACGGTTCTAGGAACACACTTCTTGCTGGCCAATAAAAAGCAAGAATCACTATAAGTGATTATAAAAGTAAAATCTCACTGTATAATTCAGGCTGGCTTTGAACTCACTACGTTGCCCATGTTGGCCTCAGTCCTCCTGCCTCAGCCTCCCAAATGCTGAGATTACAGTCTATTTTTGCTCCTTTCCCACTTCAGTGAGGGTTTCCCTCCAGGTCTCAGTGGCCCTGTTCAGGTTCCAGTTAGCGAGGGTTGATTAAACCCTCAGATACCAATAGAGGGGATGACGGGGAAGAAAGACAAAGAGACCAATTTCAGAGTACAAGGGGGACCGTGAGGAGTTAGTGGACTGGCTCTGCTACCTCCACAGCTGGCTTGCTTTCATTGGCTAGCAAGAAGTAAGGGGGGAAGGGGTGGCATGGTTTCCTGGAACCATGCAAGTTATTTCCTGTAAGTACAGAAAATGGGTGGATAAGGATTATGTTAATGAGGAACCAGATTTTCTCTAAACCTAAGTGGCTGTATTTTGACAACTGTCCTCAGCAGGTGCTGTCTCTACTAGCATTCCACCCACAGCTGGGGTCACGTGGCCTTCTACAGCCCTCCCTGTTCCTGAAGCAAGGTCACACTGACCGTAGGACTGGGGGTGCTTAAGTCACACGGTCGGACTGCCCCATAATCTATCACACAGTCTGGTCCCCAACAGCCAATCCTTTTTTTGAGGCAAGATCTCAGTACATAATTCAGGCTAGCTTTGAACTCATTATGTCGCCCATGTTGGCCTCAAGCCTCCTGCCTCAGCCTCCCAGATGCTGAGATTATAGGCATGTGCCATCACCGCTGGCCCTGTTCCTCTTAGTATATGAAAGGTCAGGCATTTTGTTGTTGTTCTTATTGTTTCAAATTTACTGGAGAAAGTAAGTTTGGCCAAATGACAGACTAGTTAAGCCTACTGTAACAGGGAGTTTGTTGTTTAGTACAAAGAAAAAGCTTGTAAAAGTGCACTTCAAATAAACTTTTTATTAATTTTGTATTAATTACTGAGGTTGTAAACAAGCAGTCTCCAGGTCTCCCCATTGTGTGGCCATCATCCTGTTTAATTAGCTCGTTCTCGAGACACGCCATCAGGGTTGCCATGCTACAGGAAGGACGGCTGCCGTGCCTGGATACCTAGTTGTACAGCAAGTGGACCCGGAAAGGAATGGAGCTATTACTGTTCAGGCATATCTTGGATGTCCCCAAAGATTAAATGAGACTACAAAAAAAAAAAAAAAAGGTTCAAGATTATTTGCATGTACCATAGAAAGTGCAAATTGGTTTAAATTACTGAATATTTTTTAAAAGGACTAGGAATGTGGCTCAGTATGAAGGTCCTGGGCTCAATCCATGGTGCTGTGCAAGGCACAGAGGTCAAATCCTAGAGAGGACCCCACTGTCAGGGTGCACAGCTGGGGCTTATCTAAGGGTATGAGGAGGAGAGAAGGGTATGGGATTGAGGCAGATTAGCTGATGGCAAACTGACAGGCTGCTGACTGACATGGAGAACTGCCGCTCATGGCCAGGACACATGTGCAGAGTACTTTGAAGTCCCCTGTCTGTCAGTCTGGATCTGAATGGGGGCAGAATGGGGGTGTAAAAGGATGGCAGCCATTGGCCTCGTGACCACTGACTCTTGCAGCGGTCAGCTCTGCGTTCAGGACATATTTCCTTTTCCTACTCCCAATTGTCAGAGGATTTCTATTATATTTTATTTCTTTTGAGACAAGGTTTCATCATGCAGTTCAGGCTTGCCTCAAAGAACAGTGAGCCTCCTGCCTGGGCCTCCCAGGTGCTAGGATTAAGGCATGTGCCACTTGTCCCCCCAAGAACACTTTTTCTTCAGAGCTATTCTCTCTCTCTCTCTCTCTCCCCTCCCCCGCCCCCATCACTTTTAATAAGTGGTAAACCTCTAAGTTGTCTGGGACAAGAGCCTGGAAGGGATCCAGGGCAACGCTGCACCCCATAACGGAGTGATCATAACTCATCTCCCAGACTGTTTTTTTTTTTTCTGTATTTTAGGGAAGGGACTACAGAATGTTCAGGGTCTCACTACTAGATGGGACTTGTAGTGATCCGCCTGTTTACAGCCTCCCAAGAGCTGGGATTACAGGCGGGCCACCATGCCCAGTCTCAGTCAACGGCTCAGCCCGCCCCGAGGCCGGGGCCAGCAAGGCAGGCCCAGACTGGCTTTCTTTAGGTCAGCTTGCATTTAGGTCAGTTTATCTTCCAGGTACACGCGGAATACGTCAACAGTTAAAGGAGACAATTTGACATGGTCCACTCCACTATTTGGGCCTCACTCGCAGAAGGCCTTCAAAGCTGAGATAGATACACCTGGACTGAGTTTGCGGGAACAGCCCCCTTGGCTCGAGAATGGGGCCCTAGAGGAGGGGGAAGGGAGACTGGGAGACTTCTTTAGGAAGAGGCGTGATGTGGGGGTGGGGGTGGCAGTTCAGACCTAGGGTATGTGCTCTGTTTCAGGAGGGGACAGGAAGGCGTGAGGAAGAGATCAAGTGGTGGGAAACAGGACTCTAACCCTGGTAAGACCATCGGGACGGACAGGGACAGAGGCCCGCAAGCTGCAAACGGAGCCCCGCCCATCGGCCCGGCCCCGCCCCGCAGCTCCGTGCCCCGCCCAGTCCCGCCCCCTGCCGCCCGCGCGCAGGTAGCGAGGAGGCGGAG